TTTTTAATATGTTGTTGGATTCTGTTTGCTAGAATTTTGTTAAGGATTTTTGCATCTATGTTCATCAGTGATATTGGCCTGTAGTTTTCTTTTTTTGTGGCATCTTTGTCTGGTTTTGGAATTAGGGTGATGGTGGCCTCATAGAATGATAATCTTTGGTTTCTAAATTCAGAGATGGACTGACTGGTCTGGAGAAGACAAGGTTGTCACATAAGGGAATGCAGACGAGTAACCTAGGTGTAAGCGGCAGCCTCTGTACTTCTTAAGGATGCTAACCTCGGCTTAAAGCATCCAATTCCATGCCCAATGGAAGTGCAAGGCACTGATGTTGGTCTCTGTGCATTCCTTGGGGATAGGAGCCTTCCCCCGCCCCCCCCGCCCATAACCTCTGTCTCTAGTGGTCCTGTATCTCCTCCATCAACCTGGGCACAAAACACAGCTACTCCAGTGATGCCTGGGTACTCTGATGATCTGGGGGGCCCTAGCTGGGCCATTTAGCTTAAAAGTTAATTTTTGCTTATGTTAAAAATTGGAATATACCAAACACATAATACTGTGAAAGTTCAAGGTGTAGGTTATGTTGATTTGATGCATTTATATATTGTGATACGATTGTCATCATACTGTTAGCTGACACCTCTGTCATGTTACAGAATTGCAAGTCTTTTTCTTTTTTTGTGGTGTAGATACTTAAGTTTTTTGAATCTCTTAGAAAGTTTGATGTTCATATATAGCACTGTTGTCTATGATCACCATCCTGTGCTCTAGATCTCCAGGACTTATTTATTCACTGGTTGCAAGTTTGTGCCCTCCAGTGATATATCTTCTGGGCCCTCACCTAGTTTTTTTTTTTTTCTATATTTAAAATTAAAAATATTAAACATAGTTTTTCAGTTGAAATGTAGTTGGTTTATGATGTTGTGGTAGATTCTAGGGCACACAGAGTGATTCAGTTATACATATATTGGTATTGTGATCAGTCGTGTCCAACTCTGTGCCGACCCCATGGACTGTAGCCCACCAGGCTCCTCTGTCCGTGGGATTTTCCAGGCAAGAATACTGGACTGGGTTGCCATTTCCTCCTCCAGGGGATTCTTCCTGACCCAAGGATTGAACCCGCATCTCTTGTGTCTCCTGCATTGGCAAGTGGGTTCTTTACCACTGCACCACCTGGGAGACCCATACCTAAAATTCTGCGGAAAAATCTGAACTAATTTTTGGCCAACCCAGTATGTACGTGTGTGCTCATATGGCTTTCATGGAGACCCCTTCAACTTGTGTCTCAGTCTTGCCGCCTCTTTCTTTTCTGTCTCCCCGTGTGATGGTTAATTTTATGTGTGAACCTGGCTGGGCCATGCTACCCCAGATACTTGGTCAAACATATTCTGGATGCTCCTGTGAGGTTTTGTGATAAGATTAATGTTTAAGTTGGTGAGCTTTGAGTAAAGCAGATGGCCCTTCATAATTTGAGTGGGCTTCATCCAATCAGTTGCAGACCTTCACAGAACAAACACTGATGCCCCCCAAGCAAGAAGGGATTTTGCTAGCAGATAGCCTTTGGACTAGACCTGCAGCTCTTCCTGGGTCTCCAGCCTGCTGACCTACCCTTCAGGTATTGGACTCACTAGTTGCCACAGTTATGTGACTTGATTTCTTAGAAAATAAATGCTGTGTATTTTTGTTTTAAGGCTATATATACACACAAAGTCCCCCCACATCCTCTTGCTTCTGTTTCTCTGGAGAACCCTGAATAACACACCCCTCTCCTCTCAGCTTCTCTGCAGGACTTTGCATCTTCTGTTCCATATGCTGATGCTTTTCCCTGACACGTCCACATCTGTATTTGAGGAGCCAGCCCTGGGCTTCCTACCCAATATTTGTTCTCCTTCCTCCTACCTAACAAGCCTGGGTTTTCTTTGTTGCGATAATGGGCCTGGCCCCTGATGATGAATTATATTGATCTTAGTCAGCAATATCTGCCCTAGTCTCATTTGCTAGCTACTAGACTTCTTAGCTTCCCTTGTAACACAGTTGTGGCCAGTAAGAGCAGGCATGATCTGCTCTGGTGCATCTGGGAAGGTTTTTGCTTTCCTGATTGAAAGGGGAGGTAGTGGCTGGCGCTTCTTTTCTCTCTCTCTCTTCTCTCCTTGAACGTGGACATGACGTACAGAGCTGTGGCAGCCACATTACAGCCATGAGGGGACAGCCATGAGATGAAGTCTCAACATACTCAGGTGGGTGGAACAGAAAGAGGGGGCAAGACAGACGGTTCCTTCATGACATTTCTGGACCTTTGTCCCAGACTCAGGCTGCCAATTTCCAGACTTCCTGTCTTTATTCCTTAAGTACTCTTCATGTGTTTTCTGTGACTTGCAGCTGAAAGTATTCCGGGTTGATGTAGGTAGTGTGTTCACTCTGCCTTTAAAATCATGAACACATCCTGGTATTGGTTGAAAGAGATGCAACAGACATAGGACAAAGAATGTGAGTCAACTCTCTAAGCCTTCCATTCTTTGGTAATTGAACTCTGGTCTTGTATTAGAAAATCTCGCTGAATGTTAAAAGGATAGCAGCTGACCCCAGACTCCTCGAGCAGAGGAACAGTGGGATCATGGGCTAGGGTCATCAGAGAAACCAGGCAGGACCACTTGAGGGGCTGCTGATGGGTCCTGATGGAGACATTGCTGGAATCTCTGGCAATGGGGCTCTGCCTGGAAAGGAGAAATGAACTCTGGGAATCTGTATTCAGATGTCCGACTAACTTGCAGAGTCTGTGGTTGGCCTCTGGTTCTTTCTCCAACCAAAGAATGATGGGTTTTGAAAGAGATTTTAAATCTGAAATTCCAAACACAAATGCTTTGTAGCATCAGATGCCTTACATCTGGGAAGAAATTTAACACCAGCTCATTTGTGTCAATACAAAGAGAGGAAATGTAGTGATCACAGAAAATTGATCGGAATTTGGGTAAGGTGACTTAAAGAAATAAAATGAGGATTATTAGAGATTGCTATCAAACTTCAAATCGGAAGGGAGGTAAAGATGAAGCACTTGTTAGGCAGATAATAAGATGACAAAGCCTCAAAA